TGTCGTTCTTTCTGTCTCCTTTCTTTTTATTTTATCTGTCTCCTTTCTTGTCGTTCTTTCTGCCTCCTTTGTCTTTCTATCTGTCTCCTTCTTCCTTCTGTCTGTCTCCTTTGTCTTTCTTTTCTGTCCCCTTTATCCGTCTATTTGTCTCCTTTCTTCTCTTTTTATCTGTCTCCCTGCTTCTCATTCTTGCTGTCGTTTTTATCTGTCTCCTTTCTTCTCTTTCTTTTTTCTTTATCTGTCTCCTTCCTTGTCTCGTCTTTCTTCTCTTTCTTCTCTGTCTGTTTTATCTGTCTCCTTTCTTGTTGTTTTTTAACTTTCTTTCTTCTTAGGTTTGGTATTAGCCAGCTTCATCAATTGCGGGGCCGAGTGATGAGAGACCCTCGGCATCCCTCAGTTTGTTTTCTTTTGTTTAATTCTACAGGGAAGGTGCGAGAAAGAATGTGCTTTTATTTGTTTAAGTTGTCTTTATCTTTATCTTTATCTTTGTCTTTATCTTTATCTTTATTTATTTATGCGTTTGCATGCATCTGACTTTTTGTTTTATGTTGTTTTGATTGTCTCTATCTTTGTCTATTCATAGTCTGTCTGTCTCCTTCTCTATTTTTATTTGTTTGTTTCTTCGTCCCCTCTTCGTCTTCGTCAAAATGTTTGAAGCGCCTTCAAATTTATTTCTCCTTTTTCTACTGGCCTTCTGCTTTAGGGTTTAGGGTTTAGGGTTTAGGGTTTAGTGTTCTAGGGTTTAGGGTTTAGGCTTTTAGGGTTTATTGTCTTACGGTTTAGGGTTTAGGGTATTACGGTTTAGGGATTAAGCCTTAGGGTTTAGGTTTTTAGGGTTTAGGGTTTTAGGGACTAGACTTTAGGGTTTAGGGTTTAGGGTTTAGGGTTTGTGGTTTGTGTATATAGGGTCTAGACGAGCGTGCAGTGGCTCGTCTACGTGCAGCAGCAGCAACAACAGACGGGTTTATAATTTCTGCTCGCGACGCAACACTGCGAGGCCCCGGCACTCTCTTTGGTTGTCTTCAGCATGGAAGGACAGACCTCAGGTCTATTAAACCCTATCAACTATATACACACCCTCCATTCAAATGCACCTTCTTGAGGGGCCCCCAAGGGGGCCCTCAAGGGGGTCCCTCCACAAGGGGCCCCCAAAGGGGCCCCTCCACAAGGGGCCCCCAAGGAGGCCCCTCAACAAGGGGGCCCCAACGGGGTTCCTTCAGAAGGGGGCCCCAAGCGGGGCCCTCAACAAGGGGGCCCCAGAGGGGCCCCTCAACAGGGGGGCCCCAGGGGGGCGCCTCAACAAGGGGGCCCCAGGGGGGCCCCTCAACAGGGGGGCCCCAGGGGGGCCCCTCAACAGGGGCGCCCCAGGGGGGCCCCTCAATAAGAGGGCCCCAGGGGGGCCCCACAACAAGTGTTGTCTTGATGCGGAGCATTAAGTGGTGTTTGTTTTTTGCTGTTTGTTTTGCAGTCTCTTCACGGGGATGTCTCTAAAAGACAAACTTCATCTGCAACGCGCAGCAGCAGAAGACGCTAAGGAGCTGCTCAATATATACTTAGCAAACAAGGCGAACCAAGGGGCCCCAGAAGAGGGCCCCCCGGGGGCCCCGACAGAGGCCCTTAAGGGGCCCCCAGGAGGGGGCCCCCAGGGGGCCCCCTTGAAAAGAGCTGAAGACGTCTTACAGCCGTCAGCAACCTCTAAGGGGCCCCTGGGGCCCCCAGGTGGCGTGGGGGCCCCCGAGGGTATAGCGGAGGCCCGAGGGATAGTTGAAAAAGAAGGTAGCGTTAGGGAGGATAAGCAGCAGCAGCAGCAGCAGCAGCAGCAGCAGCAGCAGCAGCAACTGTTGCTGCATAAAGAAACAGAAAGGCTTGTTGAGGCCCTCAAGGCACTCATGCCGCAGGAGAAGACAGACTGGGTCGTCTCCGTGTAGATGGAGAGCAATGCATGCAGCAGCAGCTGCTGCTCTAGCTGTTGCTGCAGCAGATGCTGCTCTAGCTGCTGCAGCAGCTAGCAGCAGCAGCTGTTGCTGCTGCTACAAGTGCCGCTGGTGCTATAGCTGCTGCTCTCTGTATAGGTGCTGCTACTTCCACAGCTGCTGCTGCCGCTACTGGTGCTGCAGCTAGCAGCTGCTGCTGCCGTTGCTGTTTGCTGAGAAGCGTATGCATGCATGTGCTGTTGAGTGTATGCAGAGACAGCACACTGCAGCGTTTGATTTTATTTAATTCGGTTGCCCAGCGCCTCTGTCTTTGTTTTTTTGTTTGTCTCTTTCTGTCTCCTTTTAATTTGGGGTGTCTCCTTTTGCTTTTGTTTGTCTCTTTCTGTCGCCTCCTCTGCTTTTTGTGTATTTCTTTTGTTTTTATTTGTTTACTCTTGTCTCTTTCTTTGTCTCTTTGTCTCTCTTTGCTTCTAACTATCTCTATTTATCTCTATATTTTTGTCTCTTTTTGTCTCTTTTCTGTCTCCTTCTGTTTATTTTAGTTTTTCTTTATCTCCTTTTGTTTGTTTTTGTTGATATTATTATGCAAATAGGCCTGGGCCCACGGGGTGTATATTCAGCTCCTTGTTTTGGGGTTTTGTTTGTTTGTTTGTTTGTTTATATATTTATTTGTTTATTTAAATAAACTTGTTTATTTAAATAAACTTGTTTATTTAAATGCATATTTCAGGTGTATGTACACTGAAAGAGACTTTTGTCTCCTTTGTCTTTCCCTGACACCGCCACTTAAACAAAAACAAACAAAAACATAAATACATTCTTACTGCTGCATATTTATTATTATTATTATTATCATCATCCCTATTATTATTATTATTATCCCTATTATTATTATTATTATTATTATTATTATTATTAATTATGTTCACCATTACTATTTTTATTATTATTAGTTGTAGCACCACTGAGTTATTAATTATAAAATTGTTGTTAATAACAGAAAAAGCAAACAAACTCTTAATTAATCTTTATTATTGCTTTTGTTTTTATAAGAAATAAACAAAATGCTTTTCTTTGTTTTACTTTTGCTGTTTTTCTTCCTACTAATAAAAACCATATGCGGCTTATTATTATTATATTACTAGTTATAAACATAAGTGCTTGTTATGTACATATATATATATATATATATTTATCTTTGTTTATATGTATATATATATATATATATATGGAGACACTTGTGCAGAAAAAGCTTCAACTTGTTGGCTCTGTAGAGACACCTAAAACAAAAAGAGAGCAGCAATGCTGCTGCGTATGAGAGCGACCTGCTGTTGCCGCTGCTGCTGCTGCTGCCTGCTGCTGCTGTTGCTGCTGCTGCTTCTGCACCAGTCGCAACCCCGCAGCAGCACCAGCTGCAACAGCAGCAGCAAGGCATGCTTTTACAAATACTCGCCCCCCCAAGGTCCCTCCCACTGATAGCAGCGAGACATTTCTTTATTTATTTGTTTTGTTCTCTCGGGTGTATCTGCACCTCTGCCCAGGCGCTCTTCCAGCAGCAAATCGCAGGAGCTGGCGGTGGTATGCAGCCTGGAGTGTACGCTGAGCTGCTGTTGCTGTTGCCGCTGCTGCTGCTGCTGCTGCTGCTGTTGCCGCTGCGGCGCTCTATCTTTGTCCTGCCCGTTACCTGCCTCCAAGGCCTTCTCTTTGTTAACTCGCGCACAGTAGTCTCCCCTTGTGGGGCCCCCTTGGGGGCCCCCCCGTGAGGCCCCGTGGGGGCCCCCTAACGACGAGGTCCCATAGGGGCCCCCTGACAACGAGTCCCCTTGGGGGCCCCCAGATGAGGCCCCTTGGGGGCCCCCAGATGAGGCCCCTTGGGGGCCCCCAGATGAGGCCCCCTGGGGGCCCCCCCATGGGGCCCCCTGGGGGTCCCAAGCTTGTGCTTCATAGTAATCTGCGTCTTCTAGAGGAGATGGCCCCCAAAGAGATAACAACTCCATTGCTGCTCGCCGCTGGGCTGACTGCAGTTCTGCTGCTGCTGCTGCTGTTGCTGCTGCCTCTGCTTCGGCCTCCGCTGAAGCCGCCTCCACAGAGAGCAGCAAACTTTCTGCTGCTGCTGTTGCTGCTGCTGCTTGTTGCTGTTGCTGCTGCTGCTGCATGCGCTGGCTGCAAGAGGTGCGGACAGGGCCCCCTGGACTGCGCTTGAGCTGCGACTGAGGCTGCCTTGTAGACGCTGCTGCTGCACTCCTTTCCTGCTGCTGCTTTTTCTGCTGTTGCTTCCTTTGCTGCTGTTGTTGCTTTTGCTGCTGCTGCTGCTGCTGCATGTCTGTGGTAGGGGCCTTAGACAACAGGGCGCCCGTGCTTTGGGACCTCCTGAAATGCTTGCTGCTGGTGCCAGCAGCAAGTCTTGCTGCTGCTGCTGCAGCGGATTGCTGCAGCAGCACATTGTGGCTGCTGCGGGTGCTGCCGCAGACAAAGGGAGCAGGAGTAGATGCTCTCTTGGGTCGGCAAGCCGCTGTCTGTCTCCCTGATGCCTCTGCTGCAGCTTCTGCTGCTGCTGTGCTGTTGGAGGCAGCAGTGGCCGCACTGCTGAAGCTCCGGTGGCTCAAAGCAGCAGCAGCAGCAGCAGCAGCAGCAGCAGATGAAGCCTCCGTTGATGGGGCGACCGAGCGGTGGAGGGAAGCAGCAGCACGGAAAGCTGCCGCTGGCCTCCCACCAGCTGATGCTGTCGCTGCTGCTGCTGCTATTGGTGTTGTTGCTGCTGCTATTGGTGCTGCTGCTGCTGCGCGCAGCAGCTGCTTTCTAGCTGCAGCAGAAGCAGCAGCAGCAGCAGCAGCAGCAGAGCTACATTGTCTCAGGGACTGCTGCCGCTGCCGCAGACTCAGAGACACCGCAAAGGCGTCTCTCTTTAAGCTGTCTCTTGACAGAAAATTCGCTGGTATATCTTTTGGCTGAGGCAGCGTCCAGCGCTCTACAGGCACCCACTCAGCAGCAGCAGCAGCAGCTGCTGCTGCTGCTGCTGGTGCTGCAGGTGCAGTACCAGGCGCAGCTCCGCCCAGATGCAGCAGCTGTTGCTGCTGCTGGCGGCGCAGCAGCTGCTGCTGCTGAGTGGCAGGGACTTTGCCGTGTTGGAAGGACTGCTGCTGCTGCTGCTGCTGCGGCTCTGCTGCATAAGCTGCTGCTCTTGCTGATGCTGCAGGTGCTGCAGTGTTTGTGGTTTGCTGCCTGCTGCTGCTGTTGTGGAGCAGCAGCGGGGGGTCTTCTGCTTCTTCGGCCAGCAGCTGCAGCAGCAGAGCTTTTAGCTGCTGCTTCTTCCCCCAACTTCGGGCGAAAGTGGGTGTTGCTTCCTGCTGCTGCTGCTGCTGCACCTGCTGCAGCTGTTGCTGCATCTGTACATACACCCCATCCAGTGTGGCTGCCCCACAACCCCCCTCCTCTCTTCCTTTGTATATGGTGTACGTTGAGGGCCCCTTTCCTTCTCGCCTGACGGAGGACCTCACAGATCCTTCAGCAGCCGCCTTCAACAACAATGGGGCCCCCAGGGGCCCCGGGGCCCCTTGGGCCCCCTGAACTAACGGGGCCCCCGGGGCCCCCTGGGATATAGGGGCCCCTTGGGCCCCCTGGGTTATAGGGGCCCCTGGGGGCCCCTGGGTTATAGGGGCCCCTGGGGCCCCCTGGGCTAAGGGGGCCCCCGGGAGCCCCCTGGGGATACCGCAGCAAGTGCGGCATGGTGAGGGGGCCCCCTGATTTGAAGGAGGGTAGAGCCGTCTGTATGTGTGCCTGTAGCAGCAACAGCAGCAGCAGCAGCAACGGCAGGAAAAATGATTGCAAAATCAGATGGAACAGCAGCAGCAGCAGCAACGCCAAGAGAACAGCAAGGGCAGCAACAACAACAATAACAGCAACAACAACAACAACAACAACAGCAGCAGCAGCAGCAGCAGCAAATGCTGCTGCTGCTTTCACTTGTTTGTGGGGGTACGTACCTGGGCACTGGCTTAGGGCGCAGCTTGAAGGCCTCCTGCTGCAGTCTCTCAGTCTCTTCTCTTTCGAGCTGCAGCAAATCAAAACAAGCAGCAACTCCCTAAGCCTCTCAGCACCATGCAGCAGCAGCACCAGCAGCAGCAGCAGCAGCTCCAGCAGCAACAGCAGCAACAGCAGCAGCAGAGCTGGCTAGTTGTCTCTCTCATGCCTTTAGGGCATTCATATAGCAGCATTTTCTCTGCAGTCTCTCTGTGTCTTGTCTCTCTTGCTGCAGCTGTTTGCGTCCTTGTCCCTTACCTGCTGCTTTAGCTGCTGCAGCCGCTGCTGTCGGATAGCTGCATGCATATACAGCCGCAGGGAGTGCTGCGGGTCTCCCCGCCTCCTCTTAATCCTTGCTTTGTCTCTTGAATGTAGACACCCCAACGTATCACATGAACTCAGGGGCCCCTGGGGCCCCGGGGGCCCCTGGGAAGCCTCTGAAGGGGCCCCCTGTGGGGGCCCCCCGTTAAACGATAGCCTGCAAGCAGCACTCAGGCGGGTTGCTGCTGCTGCTGCTGCTTCTGTTGCTGCAGCACTTGATATTTGTCTCTGCGCCTCTAAAGAAGAGTTGATGGTGGTGGTGGAGGTGGTGGTGGTGCTGCTGCTGCTGTTGTTGCTGTTTCTGCTGCTCTTTTGTCTCTCTCTTCGCTTGCTTCCTGCTGCCTCCTGCGTTGCAGCAGCAGCACTGCAGCAGAGCGAGGCATACGCTGCAGCTTGAGGCGCTGCTGTTGCCGCTGCTGCTTGATTCAACACCTGCAGCCCCTGCTTCTGCTGCTGCTGCTGCTGCTGTTGCTGCAGCAGGCGGTGGCGCTCCAGCAAATTGACACGGCGTGTCTTCCTCTTTGCTGCTGATCTTTGCTGCTGCTGTGGGGTGTGGGGCCCCCCACTCGAGCTGGCAGCAGACAGGTGGGGTTGTTGTACTCTCTCAAGGCCTGGGCTGCTATCTGGTTTGCTGTGCTGCTGCTGCATGCAGTGGCGACTGCGGCTGCTGCTGCTCGCGTTGCTGCTGTTCATTTCGATGCCCCCATCACTGTTGTTGTTGCTGCTGCTGCTGCTAGTGCTGCTGCGGGTGCTGCTGCTGGGGTTGCCGTCGATGCTGCTACTCCCGCAGCTACTAAGTGCAGCTCCTGTTGTTTCCGGTGTTGCTGCTGCTGCTGCTGCTGCCGCTGCACCAGCTGCCCCTGCTGCTGCAACCTGTGTTGGCTTTGCCGCTGCTGCTGCCTCTGTTGCTGCAGGCGCCTCTGTCTGAGGTGCTGCATTTGCTGCCCTGCTTCCATCTGCCGACGTCAATTCCTTTTTCTCTGCTGCCGCTGTTGCTGCTGCAGCTAGTTCTGCTGCTGTCGTTGCTGCTGCTGCTGCTGCAACCCGGAGGTCTTCGCTGTGGCTCCGGATTCTCGTTCTTACGCTCCTACTGCGTATAGGAGCCTTGCTGCTCCTCTTCGCCAGCAGCAGCTGTCTCTGCTGCTGCTGCTGCTGCTGCTGCTGGCGAGCCACCGCCATAAGGGGCTCAACAGCAGCAGCAGCAGCAGCAACAGTAGCAGCAGCGATCCTAGATTCACGACTGTCTCCGTCACCTGAGGGGCGTCTTAATTGAATAAAGGGGGACCGGGAGGCATCTTTGGTCTTCACAGGCACTTCAGCCTCCTTCGCTGCTGCTGCTGCTGCTGCTGCTGTTGCTGCTGCTGTTGCTGTTGCTGCTGCTGCAGCGGCAGCATCTCCTCCAGCAGATCCGGTAGCCTCTTGCGGGGCCTTCAATAGGCGTCTTCCTGAGGTTGCTGCTGATGCTGCTGCTACTGTCGAGACAAAAGATTCATCTGGTTTTTGCTGCTCCTCCTCAAGCAGCTGCTGCTGCTTGTGCAGCTGAGGTTGCTGCTGCTGCTGCTGCTGCTGCTGCTGCTGCTGCTGCTCGGTGGAAGGGCTGCCGGTGGAGAGGGCGCAGCACCGCCTGGGCCTTAGCTTCAAAACAGCACTTGGAGGGACACCTTGTTGCTGCTGCTGTTGCTGTTGCTTTCGCTTTCGCTTGCTGTCGCTGCTGCTCCTCTTGCTGCTGCTGCTTCTGGTCTGCTGCTGCTCTTGCTCTTGCTGCCGCTGCTGTTGCTGCTGCTGCTGCTGCATGCATCGAGGCTCTTCGGAGACGCCCACGAGCCCCAGAGTCTTCGCTCTGTAGGCTGCGATTAGTCGCAGCGCCTTTGCTGTTCCTCGGGTGTCTTCCTCTGCTGCTGCTGCCTCTGCTGCTGCTGCTGCTGCTGCGGATTTCATTGGATCGGTTGTTGCTGTTGATGCTGCTGCAGCTGCTGTCTCCTGCTCTGCTGCTGCTGCTGCTGCTGCAGCTCGCTGACTATTGAGCAACTCCTCTCCTGCTGCTGCACGAGAAGAGCCCTTTCCAAGCGGAGACACTGCAGCAGCAGCAGCAGCAGCAGGAGACACTGCAGTAGTATCAGGAGACGCTATAGCAGCAAGGGGGAGATATGCAGCAGTAGACGAATGAAATTCTGTTGTGAAGCTGCTACTGCTGCTGCTGCTGCTGCTGCTGCTGCTGCTGCACTCCCCTTCCTCCTGTGTGACGCTATTGCTGATAAGAGTTCTTCCCTGCTGCTGTTGGCTCTCCCAAGAGACTGACCGACCAGCAGCAGCAGCAGCAGCAGCAGCAGCAGCAGATTCAGGGTGGCGTTCTGTGTTTATTTGTATTTGGGTTGCTGCTGACTCCCGCCAGTACTTGGAGACAATCAAATTTTCTTCGTGCTTTGCTGCTCCCCCTTCAGTCTCTGCTGCTGCTGCTCCTGCTGCTGCTGCTGCTGCTGCTGCTTTCGCTGCTGCAGCAGGTAGAAGGCGGGAGCTGCTTCTGCTGATAGACAGCGTTGCTGTGAAGCTGCGACTAATGCGGGCTGTGCAGACACCCCAGGTTTCCGCGGTTGCTGCTGTTGTCCCTGCAGCAGCAGCTGCAGCAGCAGCCCCAGCAGCAGCAGCAGCAGCTGCTGCTGCTGCTGGTGGGTACACTATTTGTGTGGTCTGCCTGCGGAGGCGGCGAGGAGGAGACATGGAGCTGCAAGGAGACAGAGAGACGCAGCTGTCTCCTTCGGGGGGTCTCATTCCTCTGAGTTTTTTTGTGCTGTCTTGGAGGCCCTTCTGCAGCACGAACTCTTTTCTTACTGCCTCGTTTGCCCTGCTGCTGCTGCTGCTGCTGCTGCTGCTGCTGCTGCTGCTGCCGGTCCGAATGCTTGGAGATCCGAGGAAGTCTCCGGCCTTGTGCACTGTTTGCTGCTGTTGCAATTCTATAGACTGTTGTTCTGGCTCCTGCTGCTGCTGCTGCAGCTGCAGCTGCCGCTGCTGCCGCTGCTGCTGCTGCTGCTGCTGCTGCTGCTTGTGGAGGAGAGAGAAGAAAGGAGTTTTTCTTGTTGCTCTTGCGATAATGCGCAGCAGCGAGGGAATGGGGGCCCAGAGTGTCTCTGGAGACATGTCATTTGCTGCAGCTTTATCTGTCTTCTTTTCTGTCTCTTCTGTCTCTTCGGGGGCCCCCCTCTTATGCCGCTGCTTCCCTCTGCCTCCTTGTCTCCTTGCTGCTGCCCCCTGCTCTCCTGCTGCAGCTGTTGCAGCAGCTGCAGCAGAGCTCAAACACCCCAATTTCGCTGCATCAGCAACCCCTACAGAACCCTTCCTCCTTGCGGCGCTGCTGCTGCTGCGGCGGCCGCGGCCGCGGCGGCTGCTTGGAGCTGCTGCTGCAGCAGGAGCAGGTGCAGCAGCAGCAGCAGCAGCAGCAGCAGCAGCAACGCGGCGAATTATCCTCATATCTCTTAAATACGCTACCGAAGTAACTAAGCTGCAGGACGCAAACAAACAAACAAAAGCAGAAAATATATCAAGTTGTTCTTCTACCGCCTTTCTCAGGCAGCAACAGCAGCAGCAAGGGTGGATACCCGCATCTGTATCATGCCCCCAGTAGCCCCTGCTGTCTTTCTAGCAGCTGTTTTCGAACAGCAGTATCAGCAGCAGCAGCAGCAGCAGCAAACGAAGCAGCAGTGGCAGTACTAGCAGCACCAGCACCAGTAACAGGTGCAGCGGCAGCAGCAGATACAGCAGCAGCAGCAGCTGCAGCTGCAGCAGCAACAGCAGCTTACCCTTTTGCCCTTCTCCTTCTGAGGTTTTTTGGTGCTGCACTTTTGTGTTCATTCATAAAGAAGAGCTCAGGTGTCTCGCTGTCTCTGCGGGCGCTGCTGCGTCTCTCATCATTTGAGGGGCCCCCCTTTAAAGGGGCCCCCTCTTCCTCTCTGTCTTCTCTTCTCTTCCTGACTGATTTGGAGTTGCAGGTACCCTCTGCTTCTGCTGCTGCTGTTGCTGCTGCTGGTGCTGCTGCTGCAGTAGTTGCTGCTGCAGCCTCATAGGGGCCCTCAAAGGAGACACTTGAAAAGGGACCCCTAGGGACTGGGGCCCCCCAGGCCTCCGGAGAGCACCTTGGGGGCCCCAGGGGGCCCTTTGGGGGCCCCATTGGGGGCCCTAGAAGAGCTGAAGCTGCAGCAGGGTATAGGCTGTCTCCTCGAATAGATTGAGTGTCTGGGTGTCTCTTTTTTCTGTCGTTTGGAGACACTTGGAGGCCCCCTATCTCCTTCACAAAGAAGGGGCCCCCAACGGAATAGGGGGGCCCCTGGGGGCCCCTGAAGTTCAGTTCAGCTGCTGTACTGCGAGCATGGGGGGGGGCCCCCGAGTCTGCTGGGGAGGCTTGCGTAGGGTAGAGAGGCAGAAAGGGCCTATCTGCTGCTGCTGCTGCTGCTGCAGCAGCAGCAGAAGCAGCACCCCTTGCAGCAAACGGAGACGGGGGAGACAGAGAAGCAAACGACTCTGACGCCTCGCGGCCTTCATCGGAGACAATGAAGGGCCCACTCGGCAGACAGCGCATCGCTCCTATAACCCCGCATGGGTCGGCTACCAACCTGCTGCTGCTGCTGCTGCTGCTGCTGTTGCTGCTTCTCGTGACAGTGATGGAAAATGCAGATGCAGCTTGTGTTGCTGCTGCTGTACTGCTGCTGCTGCTGCTGTCGATGCAGCCTGCTGTTGCAGCTGGGACGGATGGTGCTGCTGGAAGGCCTATTGCTGCAGCTTCTGCTCCTTAGTGTGACTATACACCAGCTGCTGCCCCTGCTGCTGCTGCTGCTGCTGCTGCTGCTGCTGTTGCAGTGCAGAGTTGGGGCCTTGTCGTCTATTGTCTGAGCAGGACGTTTTGTATCTTCTCTTCTTGCTGTTGCGAAAAGCAGAAAAAGAATTGATTAAAGTGTATACTGTCTCCTTATTGCTTTATCAGAACAGCTGAGGTGTATAGGCACCTCAGGTGGGCGGGAGGGCCCGCTGCTGCCTTTGCTGTAGGGTAGTTTGATGTAGCGTAAAAATAAGGGTTTTGTCGTCTATTTGTGTAGAGTTTATTGCTATTTAATTAAATATAATAAAAGTATTTTAATTAATCAAAAAGAAAGGAGAAAAATACAAAAAGGAGACAGCTGTCTCCTCGCCCCAATGGGTAGTGACCGGACCACTGAACAGCAGCAGCTGAGCAGGGCCTCTATTTGCTGCTGCAGATACTTCTTCGTCTTTTTCAGTTGCTGCTGCTTGTCTAAATAAAAAATAAAAACAATTTATTATAAAAGACAAATTATACTTGTTATTAATTTGCTGCTCCTTAGATTCTGCGTTTGCTGCACTAACGAGGCGCCCAAGAGCCCTGTACAGCTGGCTGCCGATGCAGCGTCTGCTGCTGCTGCTGCAGCTGCTGCTGCTGCTGGCTGGCGGGTGGCTGCTGGCTGCTGCTGCTGCTGCCGTCTCCAAGTTCAGCTGTCTTGCTGCTGCTGCTGCTGCTGCTGCTGCTGCTGCGTCAGCCTCGCTGCTGCTGCGCCGGCCGCAGCAGCAAAGCAGTGTCTACCGAGAAGAGAGAAGGGTTTTACCTTCATCATATTGACGCTTTGCATGCAAATAAATATAAAGTATGCATGCACCAAGAAAAAATATGTGTGTGTGCACTTGGAGGCAGTAGATCTGGGTAGAGATTCGGAGGGTTTAGTGTTTAGGGTTTAGGGTTTAGGGGCTTTAATTAGGGTTTCCAGCTACGATTTGGGAATGTCTTCGTGCAGGGTTTGTGTCTAACAATGAGGGTTTAGGGTTTTGAAGTAGGCTTTGAGGCTACAGCTTAGGTTTAGGGTTTAGGGCTCTATCTAAACCCTAGCTATACCCTAGGCTAGGGTAGCGCATTCTGCTGCATGCGGTTGAGAGGGTAATGTTCTTCTCTGCTGCTTTCATATGAGAGTTGAGGTTTTTATTCTTGTTGCTAAGCAACTCTTCATCCAGGTGTATGTACACCTCATCAGCAAAGTTTGTTGAAGCTAAAGGATGGGGTGTACGCTCTTTGTGCGAGGGTTATCTTCTTGGGGTAGGAGTTCAGTGTGCCTTTCTTTTAATCGAGGCTCCTGGCTCTGAATACCTCAGTCTTTTATTTTCTTGCTTCTTTTTATTCTACTTGTTCTTTTATTGTTCTTTTCCGTACTTTGATTGAAGCAAACGGCATTGCTACTGGGGAGACATGACTTATTTGCTTTCGCTCCCAACGCTTCAGCTGTGCACCCCTTCCT